CCAGGAGACTAGGTCACATAGGCCTCGTTAGGCTCCCTGGCTGGGGACCTCGGGATGATGATCACCGATGGTTAGCTACACTAAGTGATATGGCTGGCTGTCGCAAACAGTGGCGCTCGTGCATCCACTCGTTATTCTCCTAACACCACTCTATATGAATTCCCTATGTTCTGCTTCAATTTGCTTCGACGTTCCATTTCATTTCGCTCTTTTATCCAAATGGGCAACCAAAACCGGCGCACGAAAGTGCATGGTTAATGGTTGTTAAAACTGGAACTGAACTTTGAAAGTGATCCACCATAAATTGCTGCCAAAGCTCCATAAGTACGGTGTTCGAGGGCTGCTCTTAGACTGGTAACAGGAATTTCTCTTAAACAGCGTGCCGCATCAGTTCGAGTAAATGGTTCGGTATCAGGGCTAACGGACGCTGTCCTTGGAGTTCCACAAGGATCATAACCTGGTCCAAACTCTTTCTTAGCATTCATAAGCGATCTATCAGCGCTATTACTGCAGACGACAGCAAAACATTTAGCATAGCACCACATCTTGCAGATTATAAAACACCACTGGAAACATCCAACACAGTTTACCAATGATCTAACATATCGAATTCAACGTTGGGAAACATAAGGTACCATAGCTTCAAAGGAGTCGCTTTCCATGCGTACTTGGGAATCAACTCTTTCCGCGTGTTTCAAACAAAAAGAATCTAAGAGTGGTTGTTCGTAAGGATCTAGGATATTCTACACACTTCGTTGGAGCTTCGTTAAAGGCCCTAAACCCAGCTGGATTACGCTAACGTGTTTCCGCATCGTTCGAAACAAACCTATTACCCCGTTTGGCATCAGCATACATTAGATCATACCCCATGCATGTTATCCAAGTTTGGGATCCATGGCTTATTCGTGACGAAACGGAACTCGAATGTCCGCAAAGAACAGCGACCAAAATAGGACCGACAGCCCTCCAAGTTAGGGATGCTACTCCTACGGAGTACCCCATACATTGTCGTTTGCATACTCTTGATCAGACAGTCTGCCACCTGAAAGTAAATCGATGCCACTATCCCCGCACGGGGATAGGACTGCTTCCATAATCAAATACATAACAAAGTTAACTAGAAATGGAGAAGGCAACCCTGACGAACACCACTTTCCGTGGTGAACTCGGACGAAAATGTGCCGTAAGCTCGGACTCAACTTCGGCTATTAGTATAAAAGGATCGTAATATTGAAATAAACTTCTCGGGTACACCTTTCTGAGAGAGGCAGCGTCAGAGTTTAGAGCGGTCGAGTGAGTCGAAAACCGCTTTCAGATCGAGGAAGACAGAGATGGTGGGTCTACGAAAAGAATGTCGGTGTTCTAGAATTCGACAAAGAGTGAAGATGTGGCCTATACCACCTCAACCAGGTCTAAAAACAGCCTGGTTCTCACGCGTGCACTCTTCGCATGAGGTAGACAACCAACGGAGGAGCTTAGAGGCAATGTTGATTAGCCTAATGACTGTTTTTCACAAGAGAATCCGTAGCCTTTCTTGCAAATCAGTATGATGATCGAATCACACCATTCAGTTGCAACCTTCCCCTCTCTCACACTTAACTAGGAGTTTCGTTAACTCCAGGACTAACGCTGAGCCTCCATCCTTAAAAACCGATGGGGACAGCCTATCTCGGCTGGAGGCCTTATGCATTTGAGATAGTTTATTTCTTGGGAAACCTCCATTTCAGATGGACGAGTGATGTCAACTTGCAGGCCAGACGAAGCTCAGTCTCACAAGGCCAGCTGTTTGGGAACCGCCTAGCTTCCTTTGACCATCCACTCTCGTCTCTGGAGACGTCACGTCAGCAAATAAACACAGGAAGGGGCAGTTTACCGATCGAAAACCCCCGCTAGATGGACCTAAGTACTGGGTAACCTGTGGCTCCCTGCTGATAGCAGAAGTCTTGGAACTTCATTGGACAGCTACCGCCCGCCACTTGGCGCGTAGCGCAATTCCAATACTAGTGACACCGCGAGCTTTGGATGTCGGATCGCCTGACACACGAAGAATGAAGTGAGAGAACAAAGTCGGATCAGGAGATCGCAAGGTGATGACCGAAGTAGAGTCCCTAAGGTTGTTNAAGGTTGTTTCAGAGACAGTATACATCTAAATTGAAAGTTTCAAGGGTTCTCGCCAAGGCAGCTTGTTGATAGTGTGCGGACATTGAATGCGGCTAAGTGAATGGGAGATTTTGGTTTGGGTGGACCTTATTAGTTGAAAGCTGAATGATACCCCATGGGGAGTTACCTCTCAAGATTCTGGAATGAGAGGAAGAATCGCATAGATGGTAAGGAGGGTTTTCCAAATGGGTACCTAGGACTCTGAAGCACGACATACTTCACGGTAGTCCACACCGACGAAGGGGTTTTCTGTGGGAACCCTAACTCAAAAGTCTGATCCACATGCAGTGGAGCGTAGATCCAATGCGAGAGCCTAACCGAACCCCCATATGGGGACTCCCAGAGACCTGTCAATCAAGGCCTTCGGGCTTCAGTTCAATATGTTGTTCGCTGGTGCGTTGTTTGTCGGTTCGCACCTAATGAGACGAGCGGGAAATGGACGGGATAGCATTTTATTGGCTCGGAGCTGCCCAGCTTGTGCGGTCTTTAGGTGTCCGGTTAAGTGCTAAGACTTCTACCGTCAGGCAAAAACCCCAGGTACCCTGCCTCTACGTCCATCTAGCGGGGGGGTGACCGGTAAACCACCCTCCTTGTGTTTATTTGCTGACGTGACCTCTCCAGAGGCGAGAGAGAGAATAGTCAAAGGTGCCCAAGCAGCTGACCTAGTGAGACTGAGCTTCGTCTGGCCCTAACCATTGGTCTTTCAGGCATGATTAGATATGCGGCTGTGAGGAGCCATCCTGTACAGCTTGCAGGGTCATGGGGGCACCCAAGTCACCGTACTACGTCAAGGCGTAGTCTCGTCGTGATGGCCGAAAACGAAACTATCGCTTACTGGTTGGTTCCAGAAAATCAATCCCTGACTGTCTTGTTGCGTATGTTTTATAACAAATCAAAGGGAAATAGAGTGGGTTAATCTGAGCTTCAATGGCCTACTGTTGAGCTATAGGGACATGGAATGTGGGAAAATCGTCACGGCGACCCAATGACACCACGAGTGTGCGTATGTTATTGAGCCGAGCGAGCGTAAAACGGCCTACATATAAAATCCACGCTGTGGGTGTGGAGTTTAAATACCAGATCTTATACGGAATGTATATTCCATATATGCTAGATCACAGATGTGAGTCGACACGCCACATAAGGGTGTATACCGGTCGTGATGGTCCATTGATAGACATGTCAGGCGATTGTCGGGTCGGATGTGACTGTATATGGTAGAACACCAATTCTCGTCTCTAATTTGACCCACATGTATCCAGTGTCAGCAACAAGAAGCAAAATACGGCAAAAAATAAGATAGAAATTATGGTGATTAGTAATGTTATGTACATAATGCGGAAGATAAAAGGAAAAAACAAATCTTATCCAGTTAAATCATTTGATGTAAACTTTTCAGTATCATATCGCTCGGCAACCACTTGGCGTCCGGCAAAGTATCGACCATTCAGAGAAGCAATGGCACGATCCACTGCTTCAAACTCGGTGAAAACGACAAAAATCTTGATAATAAGTTGTCCTTCTTCATCGAGCTCCTGGTATATCACAACCCGTTCTACAGGGCCATAGTTGCAACATTCCTCCTGCACTTCCGCCTCCAAATCATCATCACAGTCCTCTGGTCCAACCATATTCCTTAATATCATAACACTGAAAAGCAAAGATAGAGAATTGTAAGGCAAGTCTGACTACAAACGTAGACAACCTCGGTAAAATCAATTGGTCCGCACACACTAAACAACAATGCACTTACTTCGGGTTCCGGTAACACTTTAATCCACATTACGATGGAAGCCTACCTCGAGATTGTTTTTGCATATTAGCGCCGATGGTTTGCGCGTCCACCCAGAAAGCATGAGATAGTGTACTCATGAATATCGAAAATATAAACCACACGTACCTTTCACCTACCCACTGCTGATGGTTGAAGAATGAACAAAACTTCGAAGTGGTGGTATGTCAATGTATACATAGCTGTCCAAACAAATTTAACTCGTATTGCAAATGAGGTTGAGACGAAAATACACTATCTGGGTACAAGTATATGAAAAAACAAAAGACCACCGGTTACGCATGTCTGACGAGCGGCAAGAACCGCCGAACTTGTCATGTGCTTCCAGGGCAATTTTGTCCAGTCATATACTAGTTCCTGTTCACATACTACTTATTGTAAATTATGCTACACAGACCTATCTTAGGGAGCTTGTTGTGGATATCGCGCCTCGCTCATCTCAGCACTAGCCTCCTGATCGGCTGAGCGGTGGCCGAGTGGGTAGAACGCTTGCGTTCTGCCTGTAAGGTCCCGGGTTCGGCTCCCAACTGTGTCGATGAATTCGCACAGCTGATAAGACCCAACCAGGTGGAAGCAGCTGTACAATGCTTCCTAGCTTTTCAGTTCACGCTTCATTGGCTCTATACACGACGAATTCCCCCTTGCAAATTGAACCAGCTCCTCCATTACTCTCATGTAATATATAACTCCCCTCCCCACTGGACTGCTCTTCAACTTAATGAAAAACTTGCCTCCTCTGAAAGTTTATTGTGTTCAGTATATCGCTATCATCGACGTGCACCGGGCATCTGGTTCATATTTTCGAACCACAAGCAATGCCGTCCAACTTGGGTGGCAGACAACTTAGTTGTTATTCATTTCAACACCAATTCTATCCTTGCGTGGACTTAAGAGGCTCGTCACGAAAGGTCCCAGGGCTTAGCCTGCCGGCGATGAGTGAACAACAGGTCCCCGTGGCTATGAGCTAGGGTTCTNATCGTCTCCTGGTCCTCCAGTTTGGTGTTCGACTAGAATTAACGTTAAGGTAGGTAAAATGGTAGGGGAGCAATCGATCCAAATGGGCTTCCAGTTCGCTGCCTTGCGTTTAGGTTCTTGTCGGAATTGAAGGCTTCGGTTGAG